GAAGTACACAGCAGACTGAATGGGTGAGGAAGCTATGTTTCAGAGGCAGCCTAAAAGAATACTCAGAAAATGACCCAGGGTGAATTATGAAAAGACATAGAGGTATGGTAAATCCTAACCCTAACCCTAACCTCTAATAAGAAGGATTTTTGTATATAATATTCACTTTTAAGAGCATATAACATAATATAAAGCATTTCATACATAGTATTTGACATTTTTAGAGGCTCTCTTATCCACAAGTACAGTTGTTTCAGTGTCGCGGCAGTTACCTTCCTAATGAGGAAGTGCCGCGACATGCAAGCTTTTCGTGTAAACCTAGAACCTATGTCATTTAGAAGTTACATTTTATTATTTAAGACTTAATAAGTTTATTTGAGAATTAATACCAATTAAAGAAGGGCTAAAACTAAGTATGTGCCAATTAAAGTGGTGCACAAGGTATATTTCATCAAGGAAAATGTACACCAGATGTAACAGTTCTCATGTTTTGATGATATAATGTCAAATATAATCTTATTTTGGTAATTTTGAATACAAAATTGATGAACTATCCACGGATTTTGAAAAAAGAAACATGTCGCGGCACTTGCGCGGCAGCGCGCCACCCTGCGCGGCACTTTCCTATAGCCCGGTACCGGAAATCCTTCAAGGTCGACACGCTCCTTACCTATCATCACACATTAAACATTCAGTCGGCTGAATCCACAACCTCGCTCCGCCATTTACCCACTCTTTCTGACGTCATATGGAGCTCTTCTTGTTCGCGCCTTGTGCGTTCTACCATCCCTTTCAACCGTGCATCCTGTCCAGACCGCCCCAAAAGAGAATCTATCCACAGAGAGAAGAGAGACTACATCAGCTGCATCAGAGAAGCAGAGCTGGTCCAGACCCCCTCCTCGTCGACCCGCTCTTTCCTCCCTCGCACTGTCTCGCACCTCTTTCATCCCTTTATTTTCTTGCCTTTTACGCTCAAGTTTCTCCTTTGCTCGCTCAGCGGCTGTTTGAATGCCTTCTGGATAAACGTTCGACCTCGATGCAACAGTCGCGGTGTCGACAGCGCTCTGATTTCCGTACTTCTTGACGATAACGACACCTTAGATGAAATCCCATAGAAAAGCCGGTGGCCAGTCTTGGGACCGTTCATCGACCATCTCCACTGGGCTGCAAAAATCTCGCCGCTACGGGTTCATGAAGGCTTAATGCGTGTCGGAAGGATTGGGCATAACGAAATGTGGGGTAAAATGGAAGGACCGGTTTTGATATGGATTCGGCAAGCATTCCTACGTGTCCGTCCTTTGGTAAAGTGTTAAAAAATAAATTCAGTAATCGGATTTTAGGGTACATCAAAATGAGCTGTGTAGTCAGTGGATTAAAGACAACACAAAATGTCCCCCAAATTTAGAATTTTGTATGCCACAAAATTCATCGCGCTCTGCACAGGTCAATTTGGAGGCGATCTTCACGTGAATTCCATTGTGCGTATTGTGTTTATGTTATTGGAGTCCCAACAGGACTGCTCACTCTTTCCTCCTGAAAGGTACTTCGAACATTCAAAGTCGAACCATCCCATCCCCGGACCCCAAGGTAAGCGCAATAATTGCCATGAACTTCTGTGTTGGGTGATATAACTTTCAGGAGCCATCATTGTAGCCTGGTAATTGGGTCAGCGCCTTAGCCATATCCAAACTTGCTGTTGAGTTCGGGTCGTCGGTACCGTGCTGCTCAAAATCCCGCTATGCCCATTGTTGACCGTATTACTGCTGACATGGCCATTGGTATAGGTTCAACCGCGGTTCTATTGTATCAGTCCGAGATTATAGTGCCTGCTATTTGTGGACGTCTGGTTTCACTACAGCAACGATCAATTACCTGGGGAATGTAAGTGTCGGAGTAATAATTATATCCACTGGAAGCAACTAATTAAAATATCTCCTTTCTTAGTATACCTCAATACTTCATTCAAAGTGTGGTGACTCCCGATTTTCACCATTTCTTCGACCTGTCTCATTTGACTGTCCTATGTGTAAGTTCATGGAGGGTCAGCTGTTATCGAAATATCTATTGGCTGTAGACTCCCAATTTCGCTCTGGGTAATGGATGAAATGGATTTAAGTACTCCGTAAAATAGGTCAAAATGTCATCTTTTTTAGCCTTGTAAAAGTCTATCTAATTGTCAACTATTGTTTCACTTTAATTTTGTCTTAAAAGGACTCATCTATGCGGTCATAAAATGCTGATAAAAGGATAATTTTTGGGTATATTTTGACATGCTTAATATTAACACTGGGTGTGATATTTACTTACAAACTACATTCAACCTAAAAGTTACCTTTAGTTCCATTCTTGTGTGTCCCAAAACATCTATTTTTGTAAGATTTAGTGCACAATAGAGTTCATTTATTAAAGTTCATCTCCTTGGAAGGATTGTGGGATGCTCCAAAAAGGGTTCACCGCAGCAGTGCGTACAAAGCCCAAATTGGAATGACGTATCCCCATTTTACTCCCAAAGCGCTGTAATTCAACAGTCACGCGTCCTTCAGAATAGTATGGGTGGGCGTGATGGTGACGATGCGATATAGTTTGTGGAGAAGCGTCTGGAGGTTACTTAAGGCGGAGCTCCGAACGGTAATTGAACTGGTTTGTCATACATTAGGCTTATTGGCATTTAGTAGATCGGAGTATACAATATGGGCTCATGTGGCGTCTTTTACATTCGTCTTCGACACGACTGTTACCCCTTTAGGCTCCGATTAAAATGACCAACAATGCCAATTCTCTCGATAGCTTGTTTTTCCGCCTTTCCCATGTATAGCCATGGTTTGTTCCGTTGTTTCATGGCGATACACCTCCAACAATGATTCATGTGACCTTGCGAGTACCATCACTGTGGAGACCCTCAAATTTCTTATAAAAGCTAACATGCTCTGCTAAAACTTTCACTTGATAGTAGTCACCGTTCTCAGCGCAGACCTTCGTCATAATTCATGGCCTCTTTCACCAAACTTTTCACTCTTGTGGCTCTTCTCTTCTTTGTCTCCGCGACTCCCGTCGAGAAAAGGCAGCAGTGCATCAATCACTGTTTCACAGTCCCAATCCCAATCCCGGTATGCCATTCATTGTCATTATGAGAGAATAGGCATACTGACGTCCTTTAGGGCCTACCGTGTATCCCATGTTAGATTGTAGCTGTACCCGCATCACCTCTAGGTGCCGGGACCTTTCCCTCGAGGTAAAGCCCTTCTCAGTCATTTGGAGAGCTCACTCAGCTCACTCATTCAAAACTGGCAGCTTGATTCAGATGTCGTGTCACCATGTGCATCATTCTAAACTTTTTCCCTTGATAATACCATTCTCCCAATATCCTTTCCATCTAGTTATCATAATCTGATGTTGCCGAGTTCTTTTTTTGGAATATATAATCCATATGTTTGAGGAACAAAAATGCGAGCCTGGTTGCTTGTTAACGAGATGTATTCACACATTGGAGCTCTTCCAAGTGATACAATCCCGAAGTTATTGAGATATCGTCCATTTTCTGTTTCACTTCATTCTAGCTAATGACAAGTACCTGCATTTTCCAAAACTTGCGGCATAAGATCATGTAGATCTCATCAACACAGCACCTGGCAGGACTGATACTTTTATTCTTCTCAATGGCTTCGCATGTGAACAATTCATATAACTATATCGATAACGGTATATCTCTCCCCACATTTTTATTCCGTCATCCTTTCTTCCAAATATCGGAGTCCCCAGAACATAGTTCGCCGATTGTGGTGCTGTGTGAGCACGCCGGCTAGAGAGCCCTGAATATTGAATATATGTAGAGAGATCAGCTACAGTACCGGGCAGCCCCATCGCGGAGTGCTAAGCCGCACTTTTTGTTGCTAGAAGAGACAATGCCCTACCTCACTGCTTACCACTCCGTTACTAAACCCCACTCAGACGAACTGACTAATCACTTGTATCTTGGAGCCGTCGTCCGGCTGGAAGCATACCTTTCTACCTAGAACTTTATCCTCGTTGTTAGTTCCATCATTCCTCCCTCCTCACATCCTATAACAACACTGCCCACAGATCACATCCTGTTCACAGCATTTCATGGACAATGACTGCATAAACATTACGAAATTGACGCCTAAGAAAAATGTATACCACCTTTCACTCCTCCGTTCTCTCTTGTGTAACATCCGATACCCTCTACAGATGGTCTACTACACCAGTAACTACACAACCTACATTGAGGGTATGACGAGCATCGTGACTGCATCTCGACCACGACGAAAACAGTTCTAATTGTGCTGAGCGTCAACTTCGCATTGGAAAGTTGGATCCAACTGGGGAAAAAACGGCGTACACCTCCTTTTTTGAGGGTGTGCTGTTAAAATAAGGGGAGTGAATAAAGACAACGCAAGTAGGTTAGCACAATGTAATTGTATCGTTTGTCCTGTGAGCTCGTTGGGGCAAATGGATAGTGTACATACATGAAAAGTAGCTATTCATATATGCTCCAACAATAGCAAGGTGATAACAAAAGAAAGGGGAGGACAAAAGGGAAGAGACAAAAGGCTTGACAATGGTACACGCAAACCTTTGATTACATAAGCGGAACGAACGCATAATCAGCTTGTTAAATTCCAACATGTGCAACAGATGTGGATGGCACTTGCTACAAAAACCAGAGAAATACCTACAATTCCCTCCCTCACCGTCGCTATTCAAGATGAATACAAATCAGACCGTCGTAACCTACAGTAATAAGCCATTCAATCACCCCTGAGCTTTAACTAAATTCACCTTCCAGGATCTCCACCACACAGACAATTCCTGGCGCGGCAACGAATGCCAACCATCATCTCATTATGTTGGTAAGTATTCAATCTCAAGGTCAGCAGGATTATTTGTTGAATGAGTAATGGTTGACCTGGATATATTAATATCTTACTGATGACTAATCATCTCAGTAGTAACTGGTTCTTAATAGAACTACTCTTAATGGCCTGATAGCTCAGGGGTTAAGAGCACTAGACATGTAATCCAAACTTAGTGGTTGCTGGTTCAAATCCAAAGAGCACTAGACATGTAATCCAAACTTAGTGGTTGCTGGTTCAAATCCAGCTCAGGTCAATATTTTCACCCTGCTTATGTAATTCTATCATTATTTTGATACATTGCGTTGCTATTTGCATTGTTTGTTGTTAGCTTGTCTTAAACTCTGGTGCATCAGCCAGTTCTGGGCCCACTGATAAAGTTTTTAACTTCACATTCGCCCCGGGATCAGCAAAGGCAGACATCTGGGCAAGCTTCTGACTATAAAACGGTACAATAAAAGTCTACCGCACAGCACTCTTAGACCAGCAACAACAGTTTGGTTCAAACTGCCATCCAATCCTACCTTGTTGAACATGCTTGCCAATATGCTACCAATGAGCGGGTGCCTTTTCTTTCATTCCCGCAAGGACATTAATCCTTGGTATACATGTAGCTCTTCATTTGGACAAAATGAAAGCACTTTCACCCTCATCCAATGCTACCATGGAGGTGAGGTTTCATTCATCTGTGGCGCTAGACACGTGTTCCACTTTTATACAGTTTGTCACTTATATGTTGGGTGGTTGTATAATTCCGTGCCTCGGTAAAGTATCGAGCTGGAAGTGAAGACTTTTTTTGCTTTATTTTTAGCATTGGTAGAGGGAGCGCCAATGGCGTTCTTGAAATTCCGGGAGTGGGAAGACATGGCAGAGCTGGAGGGAACATTGAAAGGGCAATACTGTTACGACCGTGTCATAACCCATGTCACAACCCGACGGTCCCCGAGAATACTACAGTCTATCGATGTTCCAGGTTATTGATCAAGTCTATTCATCAAATAGTGTTTCCACTCTTCCCTTAGTTAGTAGTTTCCGACAACTCGTATATAAACCTGCTGTAAATGTAGTTATTGGACAATCAGAATATCGACTTAGATACCCCTCTAATTTCCCACTCCATTATCTATTCACGACCACCACATTCCGACTCCATCCGATTTACGATTCAACCTACATTTATGACTTCAACCTCTAATCTCCGACTCTCTCAGTCTCTGACTCTCTCAGTCTCCGACTCTCTCAGTCTCCGACTCTCTCAGTCTCCGACTCTCTCAGTCTCCGACTCTCTCAGTCTCCGACTCTCAGTTTCCAACTCTTAGTCTCCAACTCTTAGTCTCCAACTCTTGGTCTCCAACCCCTCAGCCCAACCCTCGACTGATCCTTCAGTTTCCAATCAGTAGTTTACCAAGAGGTTTACTTGACAGGACTAGTTTTCGCCTGCCCAAAATTTAAGGACACCTGACAGTAACTTGTGAGGGTGCAGCACATAAGCTGAAGCCAAGTCCTTCCGTTCGGTCCCCATCGGCCAGCCGACATCTGTCAGTTTCTGTTCTTAAAAGTATATTCTGATTTCTACTCACAAACCCGTCCTTATACATATCTATTCATTTGTTCATCACTCCACATCGGCATCGCATTACTTATCTTTTACAGAACCCTTTTGTGTTTTCAGACATCACTCTGATTTCCAGATGCAAAGATAAGTTAATGGCCAAAGCTGATCCTGTTTTACTCAGACTCCACTCATTTTGCCCTGCTCTGATCCTTGTTTCGTCCTGCCCCTGGTTTGCTCGGCTCCCGATTATTTCCAGATATTCCGAACAGACTAATTTCCTACTAGTCACTGTACTCTCGGAATCTGTCGGCCTCTGGGAATTCGCTATGTCTGCCATTTACCTTGATGGTATATTATGGATTCAAGTTCACAATGTGTTGGCCACCTAGTGCTTGGTTTTCTTTACAGATATACCTTCCTAAACTATTGCTCATAACTCCAAATCGACATCGCCTTGCTTACCCTTGTTCCTTGCCTCACCTTCGGACCTTTTTTGGGTCCCAACCCCTTTTCCAAACTTTTTGTTTGGACCCTTTTCCGACCTACCCTTTGGTCCATGCTGTCCCATGCATGTTCCTTGTCTTGTCACTACCCTCTGACCCATTTCTCCGACTATTTTCCGACTATTCGGATTCCTCTCAACCTCTGCATTGATTCCTACAATGACTCTCCAGACTTTCTGGTTTTTTCAGCAGGTCGGACTCCAAGTCAGGAAGATTTTATGCAGTACCCATCTCTCATTGGCTTTTGCAACCTGGATACATTCCAAACTGCAATACGCTTTCCAGTTCCCTTCTGGGACATTTTCTGGCTCTTTCCAGTTTCTCTGAGGAGCATTTATTTGTTTCCCTTGTGGAACAAATCTGGACGTCACCCCTTTGACTAGCAGTATGAGTTGCTTGATTATTTCTAGGATACCACTGTCTCACCCACTATAATCTGTTGATTTCCGGGTATTGAGCAGTAAATTTTCCGAAACTTCTGATGCCTCTCATTGACTGTATTGGTCTGCTCTGAATATTTTCAGCCATCTCTGGCCTTCGGGCAACCCTCAGCCCTTTCTGGGCATTTTCTGGCCTTTTGGTACCTCTGGTCCCTTTTGGCGTGTTCTACTCTTTCAGTCAACTTTGGATTCTTTGGATTCCTTGGATTTCCGGACTTTCCAGAATCTTCGGACCCTTCAGATTTCAATTACCTGTTGAGTATATGCTCGTGAAGATCAGTTTAATCTGGCTTTTCAGGCATCTCTGGCCTTCGGGCACCCATGGCCCTTCTGGGCCTGGCCTTTTCGGCATCTCTGGTCTTTTGGCTTACCACTCTCTCACTTAAACTTGGATTCCATGGTTTCTTCCGAACTTTCCGGAACCCTTGGAACCTTTGGAACTTTTGGATCCTTCAGACTTCCGGACTTTCTGGAATTTCCAGACCCTTTAGATCCTACCTGTTTGTTGAGTGATTGTTTGCTGAGATCAGTTAATCCAGCCTTTCAGGCACTTTTGGCCTTCGGGAAACCCTCAGCCCTTTTCTCGGGCACCCCTGGCCTCTTTTGGCACTCTTGGCCTTCAGGCAACCCTCGGCCCTTTTGGGCACCTCAAGCCTTTTGGCATATTCAGCCCTTTAGGCATTTATGGCTGTTTTCGGCATGTTCAACACTTTCACTTAACTTCGGATTCCTCAGTTTGGACTTTCTGGAATTCTCAGACCTTTCTGTTCCCAATTATCTGTTGAGTGTTTGCTTGCCAAAAATCAGTTTAATCCAGCCTTTCAGGCAAACTTTGGCCTTCGGGCAATCCTAGCCTTTTGGATCCCTGACCTCTCTTCCAACCTTTTCAGCCCTTTTGTCTGACTTCAAATTCTGTGAATTTTCGGACCTTCCGGAATTTTCGGACTTTCCAAAACCTTTGGATTTTCGGAATTTCTTGGACTTTCTGAAATCCTCAAATTTTCCAGAACCCTTGGACTTTCCAGAAACCTCGGACTCCGAATTTTAACTCTTTGTTGAGTTTTCCTTCTTGCCATGATTGTTTTTATCTCGGCTTTTTAGCATATATGGCCTTTTGTGCCATTCCAACCATTTTAGCATACTTGGTCTTTGGCACCAATGTTTCAGCTCAATTTCAGATTTCCAGATTTTCCGATCTCTCCGAACTTTTGGAAACTTCGGATTCTGTTAGGATACACACACAGGGCGGGTTTCCGGAGAAACCCGTGGAATATCCGGTAGGACTTGGCTTCAGCTTATAGGCTGCACCCTCGCTAGATCGTGTTGTCCAATTTCAGACAGGCGGACGGGAATCCCGGGGAGTCCGGGCGGGGGTTCGTGGGTCGTGAGTCGTAGGTCGTGAGTCGAGAGTCGTGAATCGAGATAGTCGAGAGAGATAGATGCGCCGGAGCCTGTGGGCTCCAACTAGTGCGAGTGGTCTGATAAGAGTAGGGTTTTAGAGAGGAAAATGTATTAGATTACTGGGGGGAATCTAAGCTAATTTTCTGACTGGATTGTATGTACAACATCTGCCAGTTTATATAGACCGTGGAATGCATGACATACCGAATCCAGTAATAATGAGACGAAACGAGCAAAACATAAAACGGGAATAGTAAACACCAAATTGGTGTTAGGAACGGGACGGAACGGAGCGGAGTCCGAATCGTGACAAAGCATAACCCATAACGGGAAACGGAGCGGGAGCGGAGTCCTAAATCGTGACAGGTCATTTGACTAAAACGGGAATGGGGCTCGATTAGAGCGGTGACGGGATTCTAAGCGGGTTCCGGTGACTGATGCGTGGGACGAAGACGGACATAGACAGAGACGGGGTCCGGGGGAAGTCCGGTGACTGATATGTGTCTTAATGAGGTCGAACGTAACAAGTCTTGACGTAACGGAGTCCAGGTGGGAAATCCTATAAACAGACGATTGGTGCTTGTAGCACGTGGGGGCGTACGAGTTAGTGCCCGGAGTCCGGTGGGATTTGTCCGGTCGTAACAGATTCCAAAAATGCCATCACCCAGCCCTTCTCCGAATACCTTTCTGCCTTCAATATGGTCATCCACTTCCGTCCTGGCCGCCTTGGTGGAAAACCTGATGCTATGACTAGATGATGGGACGTCTATCCTAAAGAGGGGAGTAGCAACTATGTGTTAAGAACTGAAAACTAACTAATGTCGGTGGCTGACAGGGACCGATCGGAAGGACTTGGCTTCAGCTTATGTGCTGTGCCCTCGCAAATATCCGTAGGGTGTCCTTAGATTTCGGACGGGCGAAGACTAATCCTAAAGAGTTCTTTTCGGCGTGATACCGATCGGGACCGAAGGACAAGTCGAGCATCAGGCCAAGGGGTCGGGGCCGGGAGTGGGCGAGCACACGTGAAGGTGGATGGGGGGATTCTCAGTATGAGACTGTTACAGACGTATGAGGGTATTCTGAGTCGATATTCTGATTGCCTAGTAACTACAACTACAGCGGGTTCATATACAAGTAACAGGCATCTAGAAAATACTAACAGGGAGAAGGGCGGAAAACGGTATTAACAATAAGCTTGACTAGGGACGGGAAGTTTATGATTAGTTCGGAGGCCGATGATAACTGAGAGTGGGATTACGATAAAAGGAAATAGTTCAAGGACTACAAATATAGATAGACATATGTGAAACATAAGATTGAATGGATCAACATAATAAAAGGGACGTATCAAAAGTTT